ACCTGCGCCCTCCTTCGCCACCGATCTTATTGACTACAGTAGATGTGCTAACTCATGAAATGCCAACCAAAATTTCGAAATGTGTCCTCGTTTCTTAAAGATAAATTAAGTAGTGTTGTAAAACTAATCATGATGCAGCATAAATCTATAATGATCCAGTTACCTCAGGGTGTCGGCTTTCGAACGAACTTATTTTCGGCTGCATGCAAGATCTATACTCTGCAAAAAATGACTACTTAAGTAGCATGCAATTTTATCATTGATTTTCGATGCCCTTGAAAATTCAATTGCATTTCATGAAAACATGCACAAAATATTCATTCTTTTACTTATTCGGTATAAAATCACGTCTTCTTCCAATTTCATACTCAAAAGAAGAGTAAAATTCGGTTTTATAAAACTTTTCCAATTCCCGAATAATTTTGAACCCGACCTGCTGTTACACTTGCATTCAGGGTTTCAAAACTACAAGCTGTATATCTTCCGTGTACGGAAAACCATGCACTGCTCTACGGTGTTAAGAGGAGACCATATGAGGTTCATAAAATTAAGCAGTGGATTTGAGCAATCTTGTTAACTTTACAAGCCACATTAGTAAATGCAGATACATGACGTTTCATGAACGGCCATTTAACGGTATTAAAAAATCTCACAATTCTAAACTTTTTTAAAACCGAATTATACTCTTCTTTTGAGTAGGAAATAGGGAGAAGTCGTGATTTTCTACCGAATAAGTAAAAGAATGAATATTTGTATGTATGTTTTCCATGAAATATAATTGAATTTTCAAGGGCATCGAAAATCAATGAGAAAATTGCATACTACTTAAGTAGTCATTTTTTGCAGAGTATAGATCTTGCATGCAGCCGAAAATAAGTTCTTTCGAAAGTCGACACCCTGAGGTAACTGGATCATTATAGACTTATGCTGCATCATGATTAGTTTTACAACACTACTTAATTTATCTTTTCGAAACGAGGACGCATTTCGAAATTTTAGTTGACATTTCATGAGTTAACACATCTACTGTAGGTCATGAAACTAGGCTTAGGCGGGGGAGGAGGAGAGAGTGCAGTAGATGCTGCGCGAGTCTACGACCGCTATAAACTAATTTGTACTTCACCTTGCTGTGTGGAGCACAAGCCGGGCATCGTCAGAAGCGACGGTCGAACTGTCGCTTGTTCACCCATACGACCCCCTGCCCGCCAGAAATCCCCTAAAAACAATTTTATGCCTAGACAGATTTCAATGGCTGGCATAGATCAGGCACGTCGGCGCACTTTTTCGGTTTGCGGTGAGAGTATACGAAATTCCTATAAGTCACAACGATTGTCTGGATAACCGTTAATCTGATAAACTCTTACCCTATTCTACGAAATTGGTTTGGACACACAACACGCAAGTTTTCCAGACACCGGTCCATCTGCTTCAAAGCCTCTATCTTATCCTCAGGTGTAAATGTCCACCCGAAAGTATAAAGGATGCTTTCCTTGGAAAACCATGTAGTGGACGGTTGACCCGGGATTCAAAGAAAACCTAAAGAGAGTTGTTTACCGGTCTAAACCGATATCATACAGCCAGTGTGAGCACTCAACACCCCAAGGTCAACATGTACATGCACATGCCAGCTGAACATCGCGAAAATTCGCAAACTGAGAAAAAAAGTGGCCGTACCTGGTCAACTGTCAAGTAACGTTTCAGTGGAATTTGGACGGCAATAGAGTTAACAAGACACAGAAGTAAACGCAGTTCTGACAGACCTACAGTGGGCATAAAAGATCTGACTGATTGGGGTTCCATTCGGCGTTATCTTAGTCGTGAACCGATTTTGCTGCAGTTTTGTACGGCTTTGTGAGTCTCGCCTTATAGGATGGACGCTCCGAGTGCATTAGTCGGGAGGAGGTCCTGTAGAAAAATTTCACTAAATAGCAACAGGGAATATCAGCGAGCTTAAAACGAACTGGACACCCTCTGAAAGATTCACAGCAAACTCCCATTTCTCGATGTCCTCGTACAGCGAAAAACTGACGGGACATTCCAGACATCAGTATACCGCAAAGAAATTTACGCGGAAGTTATCCTACATTACAAGAGCAACCACCCTATGGCTCACAAACGGAGTGCTGTTAAGACCTTACTTAATCGAGCAAAGACACATTGCTCTGAGAACGAAGGTTACAAAGAAGAACTCAATTATCTATTCAATCTATTTTCCCAAAACGGCTATCCTAGAGATTTTGTACGCCGATGCATGAAAGAACAGGAATCAAAAGAAAGAGAGAAGGAACTAGACTGTTCCGATCAGACGCCAAAACCAAAACATTGGCGAACGCTTCCCTACATTAAAAATGTGTGTGAACTCGTTGAAAGACACCTGAGGAAGCACCAAATACAAGTGGCTCACACACCGACTACCACACTACGCAATCAGCTTGTACACCCTAAGGATAGGGTTGGCTATCTGGATATGAAAGAAGTAGTCTATAAGATTCCATGTGGCACTTGTAATGCAGTGTATTGAGGTCAAACCGGAAAATCCGCCTCTACACGCCTACATGAACACCAATTGGCAGTGAAGAGGCGGGACCACTTATCCCAAGTCGCCATGCATACTCTTGAAGCTGGACACAAATTCGCTTGGGATAAAACACGCATTGTCGGTTCCTGCCCATATAAGAAAGGCCGAGAATTCCTAGAGGCCATTCACTCTGACGATTCATGAATTAATCGACGCATCGACCTTGATACCATGAACACAAATCTCAAAGAAAAATGGAAAAGGTAATAGCCAATCAAGACGTGACATCAGCCCACAGCATTAACCCATCCTCAGCCATGACAGAGCAATATCGATTTTTTCGGCATTGTTTAAATTTTGACTGTTTCTTCACACTTACTACACGTCTGAAGACGAGCTGGGGAACCAGACTCGAAAATTTACGAAATAAAGTTTGTTCATTTTCCAAAAGGACTTATTGTTTTTCGAATTATGTTTCTTGGCATGCCCATCTTCCGAGCCTTTCGGTACTGTAGCAGCCAGTATCTACTTAAGAGAGAGCTAGCCTACTTATACCAATTATTCCGATCTAACGGATATCCGATTAGCTTCGTGAAAAACTGTCTCAGACGTCAGAGGCAACCAAAAGATCAGAGTTCAAGTGGAGAAGCGACACAGAAGAAATATTATTCCCTGCCCTACATGCGAGGAATTTCTGAAGTGATGGCCCGACAACTAAACCGGTTTGGCATCTGCATTGCCCACAAGCCGGCGTCCTCCTTACGCGCAGCACTATCCCGGGCAAAGGATCCCATACCCAAAGAGCAACAAAGTACCCTCATTTACCGTATCCCGTGCGATTACTGCCGTTGCGTTTATATTGGTCCCACGGGTCGACAACTTGGGACTCGCATTAATGAACACAAGTTAGCTATCCGCCGACGCGACCCCTTATCTCTCGTGTTTGCCCACGCTCTTGATTGTGACCACCGTTTCAATTGGGACGGTGCCGAAGTGGTCGCCATGGCCAACTCTAAACATGCACGGGAATTTCTCGAAGCTTGGCACTCCGGTGCAGATAGCATTAACCGCCATGTTGACCTTGATGTCCATTACGAAGGTCTCCGATCACGGTGGACTGACTGGCGCCCACCTTAAGAACAACAACAGCTAATGCGTGCCCGGACATGCATGATCTCGCCGACACGCCATTCCTACCACACTGCCCTACTCCCCCTCCCTCCCCCAACACGGTGAGCCACATCTTGGACCCACAACACCTATCCTCACCTCCCGCATCCATCACAACACAATGCACACCTCCCCCTCACAAGGTCGTCTGCTTACCTCTCTGTCTGCGTCCTCAACCAGCAGTGTGACAATGCCACCTCTCACTTTTCACTTTGTCTGACGACGGGTTGGTGCAACCAGCTCAAAAATTTACGAGTAAAACTCTATTTCCGACGAACTTCCTTCTTTCACAATATCATCTCGGAATGCATACTACTTCAGTTATTCAATACATATATATATATATTTATGAGAAGATAAGGCGATCACAGGAACCATGGATTTATTTGCCTGACGTTTCGAAAGCAAACAAGCTTCCATCATCGGAGGTGGGTTGCGTACTGCACGTCACAGTATTTAAGGGTTTTTCTTTCGTGCTGGCGTGTCACTGACTTCCAGCGCGCTGCATCACACGGTATGGCGATGGTTGTCATGGCGGCATCGGTTCCTCCTCATCCCTTGTCGGGTGTGGGGAGGGGGGCGGCGCCGGGGTGACCGCGGCAATTGATCTCGTTTGCATTGTCCGTTGTCCGCCCTCGACGCATCTCGCCTTCCTGCCCCGGTCGCACCTGCCCGTATCCGCGTGGACGTGGTTGTCATGCCACTGTTGACTTCGGGCTGGGGGGTCCTGTCGCTGTCGGGGGATCTCGTCTCGCTGTCGCGTTCGTACCTGCCCGTAACCGTGTTTACGGTGATTGTCATGCCAGGGTTGACGTCGGGCTGGGGGGTTTTGTCACTGTCGGGCGTTCTCATCGAGTGCTGGCGTCTGTCTGCGTTCGGACCCAGAAGGCGGTTTCCTGGGTTTGCGTTCGCCGCCGGTTGTCCCCCGGTTTCGTCCGTTCCCGGTGCCTGTCTATGCCCGTCCGCGTTCCCGCTTGGTCCGGGTTTGATTACTGCCGTCTCTGGCCTGACGACTCGTCGGTAGCCCTGCCTATTGAACTTCACCCGTAGGGCTTGGTAGGCAGCCGGCAGAGTTACGCATCGGTTTATTGAGGTAGTTGTGGTGTGCCAGGCTTCGAGTGTCTCCCTGACCGTTTGATCGCTCCCTTGTCCCAAGACTTCGGCGTCTTGGAAGGCGAAGGCGCGGCCAAAAGCTGCGCAATGTTCTGCCACCAACGAGAGCTGATCCATTATTCTTACCGCTCTTGCGTGCTCGTCCATGCGGGTCTGCAATCTCTTCCCGGTTTCTCCAACGTAGTTTGCCTCGCAGGAACTACACGGGATCCGGTAGACGACGTTGGCAGTTTCGCCTCGTGGCAGAGGCGTTTTTGGTCTCATGACCAAAAAGTCTAATTGTCGCTTCGGGTTTGTGGGCGATGCCGATACCCAATGGATGCAAGATACGAGCAACTGCCTCGGAAACGTTCGCAATAAATGGCAGCGCTCGCCAGACTTTCGGCTGATTTGCCGTTGACTTTACGGTTGGTCTGGACTGTCTGCTGCGTTCTATGAAGCTGCGAGGGTAACCGTTGGAGGTGAACATCCGCCGTAGATAGTGGAGTTCGGCTACCTTGTCGGTCGGTTCGCTGCAGTGAGTGTCAGCTCTCCTGTAGAGAGATCGAACACAGCTTCGTTTGTGACACAGCGGGTGATTGCTGTGGTAGGAAAGGATTTGGCGAGTGTTAGTGGCCTTCCTGTAGACCGTGGTTTTCAGGCTCCCGTTGACCTTGCGATGGACCAGAGCGTCTAGAAACGCGATCTGATTGTTGTTCTCTGTCTCCATGGTGAATTGAATATCGGGAAGAACAGAGTTCAGTGGCGCGTGGAACTTCGAGACCATTTCCCGTTTGAGAACGACGAAAGTGTCGTCCACATACCGCGCCCAAAATTTTGGCTTATATGTTGCGAACACTAACGTCTCCAACTTTTGAAGAACAGCTTCAGAGATGAAACCGGATAGTGGTGAGCCCATCGGTGTACCTTTGATTTGTTCGTACACAGTCCCTTCAAATGTGAAGAACGTTTGGAGACAGTATTTAAGCAGTTGCACCAGATGCTCCCTCCTAGGGGTATTGTTTGCCTCCGTGTATTGGCTGTCGAGGAGGTCGCTGACAGTTTCGACTGCCAAGTCCTTTGGGATCGAGGTGAAAAGCGAGGTTACATCGAACGACACCATGACCTCGTCTGTGTTAATTTGCAGGCCTTTCAGTCTTTCCAGGAAATGGACGGAGGAGCGGACCGTCGTGTCGGAGCCCGAGGTGAGGCAGTTCAGGCGTCGGAACATCCATTTGGCCAGGTTGAATGTGGGTGTCCCGCGCAAGGATACGATGGGACGAAGTGGACATAAATATATATATATATATGAGGTATATAAGGCGAATGACGTACTGATGATCGGTAACGACCGTGAAACAGCTGTCTGCGTCTGGCCTGTTGCACTCTTAGCGAGCTGCTCATGTAATATATATATATATATATATATATATATGGGCAGAATGATATTACCGACAAAGACAAGGGAGACTGGAATGGCCATTTCTGGCTTATTCGTGTTTATCATGCGCCGCTGTGCGTCTGCTGATTGGGCTCGAGATAGAGCCCATAAGGTGCAACGGAACGAGTGAGTTCCGTAAGAACTATCGTTGTGCGCCCCCTACCATTATATATATATATATCACTATATAGGTAGGATTGTTTTCCGAATCTGGCCGCTGTTTCTAGATACTTAGGGCCAGACACGGACGGCGGCTGCTTGCGTGGGTGAAACAGAGGACTATTAATTAGTGTTCTGTGGGCAGGGGCGGGCGAACTATTCTAGAACTTGGAGGAGGCGGACATGCATCAACGTCACGAGTTCTTTCACTAGGAAAAACTGAAAATGCGCAGGATCATCAGAGGAATTTTAAGTTCGTCGGTGTGAAGCCGCGCCGGATTTGGGCAAACGAAATTTTGGCTTACAGAACGACAGACTCAAAGGAAAGCGCGACAGCTGGGACAAAGACTTAACTACAAGACAGAACAGAGTCAAATGCGGCCGATTATGCTGACGTGCTTTTATTCAGTAGCTGCTTCGACTGGTCATCTCGATTAGCTGGTGAGACGGCCGCGGTGGTAACATGGCTGCGAGAGACCATCGGCATAAGCAACATAGGATGGCTGTTTAGTTTTACCTGATTTCTTTATGCACTTTGGCATTTGGCGACCAAATGTAAAACCAGCTCACCAAAACAAATATTTGATCTAGGGTCTTCATGCTCTTTGATCCGACATAGGTGCTCAGAGCAGAAGCCTCCTAAACCCATTGGTGGTAAACCTAAGCAGGAAAATCGCGAAAAATCCTCGAAGTGTTCCGGTGCTCGACTCTTCTTCTTCACTTAATCATCGCAGTCTACCACACTTCGTTTTCATTTTACTGATGTGGAATATAAAGTGCGAGATGCGTTCAAAGAGCAGTTCCGCCGAAAGGCCAACAAAATGTGTGTGCGTACCGCCTGGCCAAGACTAGAATCGCTCGTCTCTCACTGTCAATTCGAAGCCCGCTTCACATACGACAAGTCTGCATTTTCTTGCGATTTGACCAGCTCAGCTCCTGGACCACCAACACGGCTTTAAAAGTGGTCCAGAGAGCAAGGTCAGTGGGAAATTTCGTTTTAAACTGTTTTGCATACCGGTCCTCGGATATGCACGCCCACCCCACTTCCGGTCAGATGAGGGGATTTCGTCTGCTCCCGCTCCAAGGCAATAGCTCCACTAGTGCTCCCATACAAGGAGGCTTTGCTTGCGGGCTGCGAATAACCCGTCCACGGCCTGCCTTCGCACAGTACGCAGCTAACCGTCATGCGCCAAGGGACATGACTGCTAGGACTTCCCCTTCTCTCCCCCAAATCAGTAAGCAGGCCACTTGTTTGTGCCAACTACCTCCCCCCCATTTCGTTCATAATCAAATTTCCTAGAGGAAGTTTTAAGGAATTTAGGGGAGCTTTGACCCCCGCTTTCAGCAGTTGCCCGTCCGATTCTCAAGCGAAGGACTATATGGCGCGGGGGGAGGCCAAGGTATGCAGCCCCTCCAAAAAACGAAATGCGAGATTCAAAGCGGACCTGAAGAGAGCTGTTTGTCGGTCTAAACCGATATCAAACAGCTGGTTTGCGCACTAAGCATTCCAAGGCCGACATTTACAAGCCTGACATCAACATCAGTGAACATTCGCAAACTAAGAAAGTAGCCGTGGCCCAGTAGACATGGGGAGGCTGGGTCGACTGTCAAGGCACGATTCAGCAAAACTAAAATGGTTCTCGAGTGGTTAGAGCGTTGGCTGTACTAAAGCCTTCCCCCTTACTGCGTGGGTTCGAATCCCACCGAGGCGCCGAGTTTTTCACAGTTGGGTCAATATGAATGGGTTCTCGAGTTAACAAGACACTGCAGTAAACGCAGTTCTGATGAACCTGCAGCGGGCATAACAGATCCGATTGAAAGAGGTCCCATTAATCATACGCATAAGTCGCGAACCGATTTTACTGCAGTCTTCGGTGGCTCTGCGAATATCACCTGGCAGGATGGGTTTCCAGGGGAGCCTCGCTCCTCACTTCGAGCAATTGCCCGTCCGATCCTCAACCAAGGACTATAATGGCGCGTAGGGCCAGAAACCCAGACCTATCCTCCAAAAACGGAATTAGTCCCCACCTCCTCTAAAGAGAATGGTGGCCCGATCTACGTGGGGCAAACCCTGGCACCGCTTTCACCTGGGACACCAAACAGTACAGGATCATCGGTCGAAGGGCTTCCGAGCTCCTAATGGCCTGCTGGCGTTGGCTTTCGGTCAAGGTCGTTGTAACGACCGAGAGTGCATTGACGTTGCTGGACTGACTACGGGATGCAGCAAACTGGATGATTCAACGACAAGGAGGAATATCCAGTGAGACAGAAAATGTCGTCAGGCACAGTCACTTCTGTATGCCACTACCAAACCGCAGATTGGTAGCACAGCGGAAGCGAATGTTTGCATGTTACGTACGATCATTATTGGCAAGCCCTCCTGGCTCTGGATTTTGGGAGTCCGCATATCCCCTCAGTTAGCACGTGAAGAGCACAGTCACAGTTCACGTTGATCGAAGTAATTGCTCAGACAGAATTCTGAGGAAAAAGGGGGAATAAGTGCAACACCAAACGTGCTGGTCAGCGTAGAGGGCAATGGACTAATTGCAAGGCATTAAGTCTTGCCTACGCGTGCCTCGACAAGGCTGGACTCTCTTTCACATATCCAAACCAGCATTACAAGTGAATTCATCTGCGCTGAAGACGCCGACCAGCCTTGCTCGGTTTTACTTGACAGCCAAAACGGTGGCCGGGGTGTGGCGAAGTCGCTGAGCCCCAGATGCGCAAGCTGGGCTCCTGGAAAGATGAGAGTGGCATGGTCAACTTCCTAGTAGCGGTTAATGAGCCCAGAAGACTGGTGAACGGCATTGCTGCGGAAGCAAGAAGCACAGGTCTGTCGAAATGTACCCGATAGATGGCGAAAATAGGTTTGCGCATCCCAGTTGCAAGTGTAGAGGACGCAGGGGGGGGGAGGGGGTTGCGGATGCACATGGCAGTCCGCGGCCAGCCCCCCGCCAGGACCAAATGAACTAAAGCGAATTAATGACCGATGATTGTGGACGGCAGTCAGCAGGACTGCCCCCACCCCCAAACCAGTGACAAGGCAGAATAAGCTACATAGACTGATTAACTTCGCGTGAATAAGCTCATCAGTGGAGGGGATCTCCGGGTTGTGACTGTGCAAGGTAGAGCTGGATGTCGGAAAGTCAGTGAGGAGTTCTCTGCAGCGCGACGGTGGGTCACCATCGGATCAACTACCAACTGCCCGCCCGCCTGACCACTCAGTACACAAGGAAGCAGGACTCGCTGTCAAAAATGTATACACGTATGAGTGTATATCAATGCGCAACAATCGAAATGGTCATGATGTGTGGCTAAGAAACTAAAGTAGGACAGATCATCACTTCGAGGAGATCAGGTGACCGCGTGTCTGTGTGTGCGTGTACGCGCAGTAACAGGGAGTAAACATAATCTCAACAATCAAAAAAACTGAAAGTATCAACGTTTCTGTCAAGACGGTGGTGGGCGGGGAGGGGAGGCGGGGGATAGGGCGTGAGATATGCGTGCGACTATTAGGCGGACAAGTAAAACTCCGCCATGCACACGGGCAGGGTGGAGGGAAGGCGTAGTCCACACGCGGCTGTTGACACGACGGCATCAGGGAGAGAGGGAGGGAGGTAGAAAGAGCAGAGACGGAAAAAGCAGAAAGACCACCGAAAGTTCTTGTGTGTGCGCGCGGGCGCACGCGGTCACAGAGAGCAACAAAAAGGGCGGGGCGGGAGAGGAACGATGAGGAGCAGACCTCACCGAGAAAAGAAATGAAAGGAAACGAAGTAGGACAAAATTAAACTCCGCCCTCTTAGTGCGCGTATGCTCGTTTCTTTGGGGTGTGGAAGGAGGGAGAAGTTGAGAAGCAGGGTCGAGCGCCAGCGCAATTTTTTAAACAAAAAACTGCATCTGCAGACACTCCCAAGAGTCGGCTACATGATCACGAGTGTGTGAGAGAGAGAGAGAGCAGTGCACAACAAGAGCGGCGATGCAGGGTGAGACGCCGCCTCCCCAGATTCGTGCACGGTGATGGGAAGACAATGCTTTTCGTACAGTCCGGGTCATTAAAGACGAAGCGAAGGGGAAGGAGGGATGTGCGGTGGCGCATTGAATGCCAGAATATTTCAGCGGATGAAATCTAGAGAGAGGTAAAACAGGGAAGATGTCTGATCGCCGTTAGTCACAAGATCCACCACTGCTCTGGGACGTCGTTACTTGCTCGTACATTTGTTTACAATGAAGCGGACCTGTGCCAGACGTCTGCCTACTTCTCTCGTCTTCCACTCGTCCAGCCTATTTGGATGGCAGGACGAAGTCAAGACGACCGGAGTCGGGCGAGACGCGGTATCTTAAACAGCCAGATGGGTCGTCTACGCACACCACACAGCAACTGACAAATCTAAACGGTCCATCTACGCGTGCTACACACAACCCGCTGCCACTAGTGTGTCGGGGCGACGTCGAGGCGACCGGAGTCGGGCTAAGCGCGATAGCTTAAAAAGCTAAATAGTTCGTCTACGCACATCACACACGAGTCGACTCCTGTTTTTGTATACCCCATTCACGTGAGCAGGGCATCAGATCACGTAATGGTCACATTCAGGAGCTACTATAGCGTGACTCGCAGTCCTGTGAAAAATCTA